TTTCCTCCCCACCCCACCCCCCATCAGTGTCAGGAGCTGTGGCTGGATGTGCGAAAAGATCACACAAAGGGTCCAAAGTTATTGATTCAGGTTTAGTCTCTCTCTTTTTGTCCAGAAGGTCTTGTTGCAAAGGCCTGAGAAAATGTCGAGTGGGTTCCGTTTTGTCCAGAGGCTCCGGTGTGAAGGTAGGCATGAGCTGTTGTGGCTGGTTTATTCTTAGGCTGCTTGTTTAGCTCAGAGTCAAACTGCTATCTAGCCAAGATCTTTGACTGACTTAATCCTTAGGTGGCACTAACACCTTGGCCTTTTAAAAAAAAAATTGTTGAAGAAAAGGAACAGCAGTACTACAGCCGGGTGGGGATTTTGCAACATGCAGCCTGGCTCTGCCTGGGTCTGGATCGTTTGTTTAGTGGCAAGCTCGGTCTAGAGAATGGTCCCTGCGCTGTTCCCCTTGGAGAGTTGCAGGCATGCATTTCCTTGAATTTGCAGGGATTCTAGCCCTTGTCTAATTAAAACTTTCATGTATCTAGTGCAGAAGGAAGGAAGGAAGGATCTAATACCATTGCTTCCGTCCATGCCGTAAATAGCTATTTGCCCTTTGAAGAATTTTAGAAAATATTTTTGAGGCACTCAAATATGGACAGATTTTACCCCTCCATCTATGTCATGTGTCTAAAACTCAGAAGTGACACACAATGTGAGTAAGAGCTCAGCAGTGTTTCATTGTTATCCCCGGGGGATGGTTAGGGGGGCAGAGAATGCATGCCACATGTGTTACTTCAGATCAGAAGTCTATTTCCTTAAACTGAAACAGTTTTTGTGTACACCATTGCTTTATGAAGTGTGCAGATTTTTCCTCTCCTGCTACAAGCACATGGGATGGGAACTCCTCCCTTCTTAATACACTTGCTTTGCAGACAAGGATCATGAATCATGTAAGATTATCTTTTAATGAAGAACCATCCTTTAAAAAAGACCCTTTGCCCAGAACCCTATTAGTAGCCCCAACTAGAATATAGCTGTTGAATGAATGGGAGTTACAGGAGTGTTGAATCACCACTCAGCAAGTGACCTAATGGGTCTAACCGCATTGCAGCTAGCAATAGGATATAAGCCTGCATTAATTTTTTTTTTTAAAAACCCAATTCTCAGGATATGGTATTGTTGCAAGTAGTTTTAATTATGTTAATGTGCTTCTGTGTTGGAATGCTCTGATCATGAGTCGCTGTGAATATTTTAATGGGGAAATGTAATATAACTCTATCATATGTAGGATGATAAATAATAGATCTATGTATCTAGGAAGAAAAAAAAATGTGGAGCACAGTTACACTCCATGGAGACAAACCGTTAGGCGCCCGTGATTGATTCCTTAGTTCTGCAGTGAAAGATCGAAAATTCACCATGGAAGTTAAAGATGGTCTGTTTAAAATCAGACATGCCGGAGCTCCTCTGACTCCAGAAATCAAGCAGCCCCTGTAGAACAGACATGGCTCCGTTGCTAAGCCAAAACAGAAATGTTACTTTTTGAAATGTTGCTCTCTTTTTTTAAAAAAAGACCACGATCCCAGTAATTGCTGACTGGGGAATTCTGGGAATTGTTGCCAAAAAGGAGGAAATTACTCAGCTCTCTAAAAGCTCTTGCCTGAACTTTCCCGTGCTTCCAGAACAGGGGCCATCACAACGGGCAGGCTGATCAACTGCGCTGACCCAGGAGATGGAAAGGCACTTGATTTTGCCAGCCTCCAAATTGAAGCGAAACGTAACCTTCAAAGAGTTACATTTTAGCCAAAACAAGTCTCTCCGTCCTGGTTTCTTTCATTACCTAGACTAGAGAGTAGGGATTTAGATTTTCTTAATTGTTCAGTATGCCCTGTTCTTTCTTTCATTGCTGATTTCCCCCTTAATACTAATTTCAAAAATCCTTGTGCTTTTTGGGTTTTGTTGGGTATTCCATCTGCTCATGCCTGAGAGACGAAAGAAGGTGAGAAAATCCAATCCCATTCCATGAGTGAAAATAACTGGTTTTGCATTGGTGCAAAGAGAGAGAGATGAAAAAAGAGAACAATATTTCTCCCCCCCAAGCTCCTGAGGCTCAACCCCCACCGCATTTTGTGTCCTCCTTATTATGGACATTTTCCACTTGTGTAATCTGCGAAACAGAGGATCAAAGATGAGAAGGACATTCTTGGCCTCAAGGATGCCCAAATCAATCTTGACTGACTTGGTACCATTGTACCAGCAGATGTGGCCCTGCAGGAGGATCACATCCAAGGCCTACAGATAGGTGATGATTGTTGATTAAAAACCCAGCCTGTTTCAGCAAAAATGTTATCCTTCACCATCTGTCTCAGGGCAATGGGCACTGGTTGTAGAAAAATAATTGTAGGAACAATTAGAACTCAAAATTGCTAAGAAAACGAAACAGTTGTCATAAAAATTCTGGACTATCTGGTTCCTAATGCAGTTTTAAGATGTATATGCCTTCACAGAGTTTTAAGATAGACTGTATATGCCTTCATACAGTAGTACGTATAGCTGATGAGTCAGCATTTGAAGAATTGAACCACTCGGGCTTTCAAAATAGCAGGGAGTGTGGCATCATCATCAGCCACCACTGCCCAGCCATTCCTTCTCAGCTGAGCTGTAAGCCCTGGAACGCATGACAGGAGAACTGATTTTCTCGAGAACAATATGTTGGTGCAAGATAGGTGTCCTGTAATGCAAAGTATTTAGAAGTGGTTGAGCCTTGAGTAGGCTAGTAAGAGCTATTAACTTTGAAAAAAAAATTAATTATATAATGAAATGCACACTCTTTGCAAAGGTAATAGCTCTTAATAGCCTACTAATATATATATATTCTCTCTCTCTCTCCTCTTTAAAAGAATGGATTAAAAGTATTCCAAAAAGCTAGTATATGTCTATAGTGTGTGTGTGTGTGTGTGTGTGTGTGTGTGTGTGTGTACACAGAGAGAGAGAATATTTAGTCTCTCTCTCCATATATATAGACAATTCCTATATGTATATATATCCTGCACTCCCAAATTCACCATAACATTGCTTATGTAGGCATGAACTTTGTATTTTGAAATTCTGTGAGAAGCTCTGAAAGATGTCTGCTCTATCTCTCAAACCTGATAGGGAAAGCAGCTTGTGAAAAAGAAAACAAGATATTTGGTATCACTTGCAGGCCACCATTTTCCTGAGGAGGGGAAAATTAAGCAGCTCACAATGTTAAATCAGAGTTTGTCTCGTTGGTGTGTTTGGGAAGCACTTCCACATGTTTTCCTTGTAACCTGTACAAGTGTTTTGCTGACATCATCCTACGAAGTGATGTCGGTTGTCTGGAGATGCTTCAATTGGGAAAAAATACCATTGTTGTAAATACAGTGTGATTTTACTTGTTAACATCCCAACAACCCAAACATTTTTAACTAAAATATCTCTTGCAGTGGTCAATGTGTTAGACTAGAGCCATAGCTGTTGTGCAAGAAAGATGTGCCTTGGCGTCTTTGCCAATGAACCGCAATTAGCGATGGCAAGTTATTTATTTATTTCAGCAACTGTACACAAACACCTATAGGATTCTCACCATTGTTACTAGTGCATTTTATGAAGCAACTCTTTTTCTTTCAGAAGTGGAAATGTTTTCACACACACACACACACACAAATTAAGCACTGGAAACATTTTCAGGAAATTTTCTACCCTGTGCCACTGGTTCTATACTACTGTATTTTGCCTGTAGCAATCAGACTGTGGGTTAGCAAGAGGAGCCACTTTCAATGGAAGGACAGGTCAATGCAGAGGTGATAAGTTCTAAGGGATCCATCTTAAAATATCTGAATTGGTAGGGAAAGAGAGCCCTGGAAAGGGGAGTGGGGACAAGGGTCTCTCGCCTTTTGGGGCAGCGACATTTAGCCTTTGGTGGGCAGAAAGATAAGTTTCCTGCTGCTGAGTCATACCATGCCTTCTGAAAGCAGGGTGGGTGATGGTTGGCATCAGATCTTTTAACTCTGAATAACTCTGTGGGGGTGTGCAGAGAACAAAAAGGAGAACAGCAGGAGGGTTTACTGCCTCCCCTGGAACACCAGAGACTGCCCTAGATGGAGACAGAGAGGCGGGTAATGTGGGCATGAACTCCATTACAAATATCCCTTAGGATGATTGCATGGTGCATTTTGTTCATGCTCAGGAGATGACTAATAATCATCTTCTTAGGGTTGGAAGGGATCCTATGGATCATCAAGCCCCTGTCAAGGAGGCCCAGTGGGGAATCAGGCTCCCAACCACTGGCTTTGCAGCTGAACCACTGAGCTCTCCAGCTATTCTGTACTGTATCAATTCATGGAGAACTGTTTCCCTGGGTCATGGGGACAGGAGATCATGCAGGTTTGGCTTGGCCTGTTGAGCTTTTTATGCTTGTAGTGTTTCCAGCAGCTTTGCTGCTGACCTTACCTTCCAGGGCCATCAGTCACTTTACAGAATGTGTCTCTTCTCGGAGTGCCTTCAGTCCTGGGTTGCATGACTCCCTTGAATTAATGCACAGCCTTGACTTCTTTGGGCTGAGCTGCCTAGGTGGCACTGCCATCCTCTTGCCTTCGTGAAATTGTTATTCTTCTACTCAGGATATACAAGCAGAAGAGTATCTGTCATCTCTTTTCAATGGGTCTGTCTTCAGTGTCA